ACTGTTTTGTTTGTTGTTGTGATGATGGTGTTGATGGTTGTTGTTGTGATTGTGATTGTTGCTGTTGTTGTACTGGACTGGCAGTTTTGATTACCTGTTTGGACTGCGGAGATGTTGTGAGTACAGTGAATTTTGGCCTAATTTGTGTAACTGTGCCGGTCACTGTGCCAACCGGTGAAACGGTCTGTTGCGTACTTACGACCGTCGTCGTACGCTTTTGCAACACTGGACGCGTCACTTGCGCCTGAATCTGTCTCGGTGCAGGTGCTCTGACAGGCGTACGAATTGTACCAAGAACGCTCGTTGTCGCTGTCGGACGTAACGACGGTCTAGGTAGCAAAGGACGACCGTCTACCGTTCGCTGAGGCGTGACAGGGGCAGATCTTACACCTGTAGGTATTCTCGGTTGCAAAGTTATCGGTGTCGGCACAGCAGCCACAACATGTATCTGTTGCAATTGCGACGGATCCGGTTTCGGCTGTATCTTTATAGGCTCGCTCTTCTGCACGTTGCCCATTTTCGGTGTAACGGCCTTGGTGACCACCTTCATCTGCGTTACCACTTGGCTTCCGTCCATTTTTGAAACGACTTTCACAGGAGTCATCGAATTGGACTGCGACGTCGAGATTACTTGTTTTTTTATTACGTTTGTATTATCTCGATTTTGAACCATTACAACACCTTGCGCCGTCGAAGATCCTTTAACCGCTAGTTTCCCACTGGGGGACGAATTCAATTTAATGATACCGTCTTTGCGCGACATAACATAAAGACCAGAAGCCAAATTCGGCATTTGTTTCGGATCAACTTTAACAACCCCCTTGGCACTAGCCACTAAAACAGGCGGTTGGCTAGATTTCGCTCCATCTGGAGATTGCAATCCTAATGACGTTGCCAGATCAGTGGATGAAACCGAGGTTCTGTTGGATCCATTGGACTGCGCATTAGCGCGATTGAATGCACGTTGAATCACGTCGCTACGGCCCAATAGTCTTTCGTCTTCAGATTCCCCAGTCCATTCGTCATCACTGCCCGTATCACCTTTCGTTCTCTTTGCAGCACTGCTTCCTCCTTCTTCCGAATCGCTGTCCGAATCATCGATCCTCCTTTTACCTAACACTACAAATTTATACGTATAAATATTAATTCAAATGGCGCGTATTTAATATGTCGTTTAATATGTTATTTAATACACGTTCAATATTATATAATATATCGATTGCAAAATTAAATATCTGTCAAGTGCATAAATAATTTAAATACATACGTTCATTCTCTTCATCTTTCATCGAGCCACACCATTGCTTGACTTGATCCATCGCTTTTGATTTACTAGACCGCATCGGGCGTCTACGTGTATGCAACAATTAGCAAATTCGCATTGAACATCAGTGATTTATAGAAATATAAAAATGTTTCGTAATTGTACTTTTTAATTAAAAACTAGCCAAATTGCTCACCCTGCTTGAACTGCAGTACTTGGTCCAGGCTGACTAGTCTCAGCTTTTATCACTGATTTTTGCAATGGCAAACTCACACGTCCGACGACTTTTGTATTAGATTGCTGTTGCGCTGCTTTAGACTCCTTTTGCTTGGCGAGACTCCGCTCAAATTCATCCAATAAACTTTTGCATGCTGCTAGATTCCCAGCCTCTGCAGATTCCCATGTATTGTTTTCACTATAAATTTGGAATATTTCAGACGACACTATTATAATTATTAGAAAAAGAAAAAAAAATATACGTGCGATTAATATAGAGTACCCACTGTGGATAGCCTTCCCATTTGATTAAATATTCCGGGCATCTCTTTTTAGTATTAAAACGTTTGGCTAATATTTTATCGACAATATATTCTTCGTTACTTAAGTCTGCATCTTCTTCGATAGTTGCTTTACCAGACTTGGTCTACAAAAATATTAGGATAAATAAAAGCAGATTCCAAATATGTATTGTTAACTTTATTAAACAAGTGGCATCAACTAGTGTAATACTTTGGGCTTGATCGATGGTTTCAGTCTTGGTTTTTCCTTCTTATCTACTTCAATTTCCATAGATTCACTCTTCTGCGTTTTTGTTTCCAGTGATTTCGCAGAATCCTTTTTAGCTTCGCCTGTTTCTTCTGGTTGTCCATTTCTGACAACTTTACGAACTATTATCGGTTTGGCACCTGTGAAGCACCCAATATCAAGTTTAATCTTGAGAATAAAAAAAAACATTTTCTTTATGTTGTCTACAAGTTTTTATTTCTAAAAAAGAAAAATAATAATAAAAATAAAAAAAAGCCAATCACCTTCGACATTGGTTATATTTGATTGCATCAGGGTATCCTGCATCTTTGCGTTACTAATTTTTGTAAAGGTTTGTATAGTTTTTCCTGCTATGATCCAAGTCTCCTTTACTTTCGAGTCCATCTTACACCATTTCTGATATAATGTCCATGCATTAGATGCCTCCTTGTCTGAACTGTCTTGGACTTGTGTATCCTTCCATAATAAAAACGCCCATACTTGTGCTTTTTGTCCATTCTAAAAATATCAAAGGAACGTTTCAAATAAGCAATTTTGTACAATATGGGCTGCATGTAGATATCTAAAGATATTTGTATGCAGCACATATAGATCATACAGATACAAAGTATCTGTAAGTAGAGATACAAACATCGTTGGTGTCACGCATACGTGATATTTTGGAGCAGGCTCCCTCCTTTGTGCGATGTTCTTGAAATTCTTCGATAAAATGAAAGACAGAATGACATTGTCCACATACCAGTACATCCAATCGTCCCATTTCTTCTTGCGCTGCTGGTGAAGTAGCAAAGTAATTGAAAGCGAAGCACGAGCGATAGTTAAAGTGTAAAATATTTATTATGTCATCTTCCGCAAAATAAAAATTTTATCTTAACTCTTTAAGTATAAAAAAAAAAGGAAAAAAAAACAAGTCAAATATTATGATTTCCAAATGTGTGTGTGTGATGAGATGACAGAGAATAACATAAAAGTGTAACGATCAATGTAACGATTACCTTTAACAACGGTGGATTTATTACCGATGGCTGAAGGGCCATCGTCTCCCTCCATTCTGTATACGGTTCTCGTCTCGCGATCCCTTTTCTAAAAATTAAATAAGAGCATCGTTGAACAATAAAGACCGTCACACATACAAAAATTGTAATCGTAATCCTAAGGCCGTAAACAAATTTGCTTGAAACCTTACAATTACAATTTTTGTATGTGTAATGACCTTTACGGCAAGAATGAATAAGGGATTTCTATTTGGTTTCTACACCATGGATTTTTGGACAACGATAAGAGAAAAAAAGAGAAACGTCGGATCGAACTTTCCTGACGCGAATTAACTGAATAGAAGAATGTAAGAGAAAGAGAGAGAGAGAGGTCTGGCTTGCTTGGCGCGAAAATTGGAGTGAAAACGGGAGCGAGGTACGTATACACTACATCGTGGTCAAAATTTCGCGTTCGGCAACGAGAAAATCGAAGAGTAGCGCAAGGACGAAGAACGCCGGCGAATATCTGCTTTCTTTTTTTTTTCTTCTCAAGAAATACATTTTCGCGCTTCTACCACGCCGATTCGTATGCACACTCATGATCTACAGTTGAACCGCCAGAGCTACTGTGGAGCTATTACTCTACATTTAAATGAAATGTGTGTGTGGGCGCGCGCGCGCGCGCGTGCGTGTGTGCGTGTACGTGTAATGAAAGCGTGAAGACTGGGCGTGCGGCACTGAGCTCTGTGGGACACAGGGCGATTGTAAACGGGGCCAGTGACGATTGCCGCGAATGTGTGAATTATGGACGACACTCGCGCCAAGCGTTGACTTTATGACAATTGTGACTCGCCGCGCAATTGTTCCCGCGCCACGAGGACATGGACTGGTATGGACTGATATGGACGCCGCGCGCAGCCTTATCTCACGTCTCGTGTTAATAACGAGCGAGACAACTATTTTTTGATCATAAGGTTCGAGAGACCGGTGTCATTGGCGCCGGTATAATTGGCGCCGTTTTTTTTTTTTATCGTCGTCACCGTTTCTGTTTGCGTCGTTGTCGCTGTTACCACGTTGTAGTCGTAGTCGTCGTCGTCGTCGCCGCTGCCGCGGTTGTGGTTGGTCGTTGATGCGAGCTCGTTCGTCGTCTCTCCACTGTCTCTCACGAACAAGCCGATGCTCGTCAAAGATGGCTCTCGTCACCGATCTGTACTTTTGTACAAACTACTCACTTCCTGTCTTTACATGAACGCTTTCTGAACACTTGATGAAATCTCGGATCGCGATTAACATTGCGGTCGCAAAAGCGAATCAACGATGATCACTTACATACGGTGAAACTGACGAACGGCTGGATTTTCCTTAGCTTGGAAAATGGCTCGTTGTCGCACAAGACTGGACGAAAACAGCAACCATGAGCGATCGCGTCGGCTGACAGTGGCGCCATCAGCGCCATGGCGGCTGATGTCTGATGGCGGCCGCCCGGCACACAATCCCCCTCCCCCTCCCACTTTCTTGTACTCTTTCTTCTTTGCCTCATGGCTCATATCCATTATCCAGTCAGACCAGACGTTTTATCGTATGTTACGTTACATTACGTTACGTTACGTTATACTTACTCACTTACCCGACAATCCTGGCCTGGCATTCCCGGCATGCTACGGCATGCTCCGAGCTCCGACCAGCTCCGACTTGCCCGCGATCCGCACCCACGATGCACCGCGATCAATCGCGAACAATCGCGAATATCGCGATCCGTAATCTTCCTGCCCTTTCCTTTCTCAACTTTTCTCATTCTTTCCCTAAACCCACCACGATTCGTCTCGACCTATCCGGAGCGCGGATTTTGGCGGGTAACCTATCAAATCTACGCTCTGAAACTTTGGATTTTACCCAGGCATAGCATATCCTGGCGTCCCTGGAGTTCCTGGCGTCCCTGGCGTCCCTGGCATACCCGACACTCAACTCAATTCAAGTACCGTAGTTGGATTGAGTTCCCGAAACGATCGGGAACACTTTTCAATTTCAATCTTTCTCTTTATTCTTTGAAAATGAAATATACTCTTTGCTCCATTCCCAAATCGTCGTAAACTCTCTTTGTCGGGTATTGACGTTAGAAATGAGATTGATGCAACTCCATCGACTGTAAAGTAACTCTACGGTGTTTTACCGGTTTCATGTGCAATATCCGGTGCGTGAGATGCGTCGCTTTTACCTTTCAAATTTTCGAGCTTAACTTTCCATTCATATTTCATTCCCAGAATCGAATTTTTACAAATCTTTGTTTATTTTAACCTCTCACGCGAGATTCGCCGTTCTTTGTATTTTTATTTTCTCTTGTTCGTCTTCCTTTTTTTTCTTTCAACATCTCATTTCATTTCCTTTCGTTTTTAATGCAGAGACGACTGTAACATAGGACGGTGACGAAATTATCGTCTTATTCTTCTTATCACGTAGAATCCGATGATAGTGGATGCTTACCACTGATTATGATGACACAAGTCACAAGTTGACACAACTCTCTGAATGTCAAGGGTAGAATGACGCTTGTGTCGACTTGTGTCGATTTGTGTTATCACAATGGTAATTACCCAGTATAATCTTCAAAGATTTGTGCGAGTTCGTGCAAATATATGTAAACTAAATTTTTTTCAAGCGAATCAAATAATTACATTGAACTACATAGGACGTTCACACGTACTATATGCATGTACTTACATGCATATAGCTTTTAAGACGTTCTTATCTTTTGTTTTTCATCATTCTAATAATATTTTTTTATTCTACATAGAATATTTTATCTAGATAATGGCAGAAGAAGAATTTGAAGGAAAGGAGTACCGTTGGGAAACTGGCTACGAAAAAACATGGTATGGATTTTATGTTGTTTATATATCTATGTACATTTAATATGGTACTCTGATCTACAATAGATAAAAGTTTTATATCCATGTACTATCGATGCAGTAATGTAACAACAATGTTCTTGACAATTGTATACCTATCTGGAATCTATAGGGAAGCAATTAAGGAAGATGATCACGGTCTGTTGGAAGCCTCTGTCGCAGATATTATTCATAATGCCAAGAGAAAACGTCAGTTGGAAAGAAAACAGGGTGCCAGATTAGGAATGATGAGGCATCTTTATATCATCTTAGATGCTTCGGAGTCAATGTCGAATCAAGATTTGAAACCAACTCGTTTTCTATGTTCTCTGAAGGTACGATGAAAGAATATATGTATTATCTATACATTCTCTCTCCTGTATATACAGAATATCCACAAATAGGACCAAACTATGTTAATAAGGTTGAGTAGATGAGAAAAGTTCATAGAAATTTATGTCTGAAAAAGTTTTATTACAAAAGTTACAAACATTCAAAGATATACAAGCAGAACAGAATTGCTCTTTATAACTTGTTGTGTGAATCATGTGATTATATACATGATACACATTCCATTCTTATTTTGGAGAGAATGAGTTTTGTAATTAACGATTCCCTTGGTATTAGATCGGTGATTTGCTATGGACCAATCATTTCGTCTCTTAGCTCATAATCAAATTTTCATGTCCTTTGACTTTTATTGTACGCAAAATTGTTGATTTATGGGAATCTTATTGAAACAAAAAACTAACTTTGAGAATGTATTTAAAACGCGCATTTAAGTACTGTTATTTCTTATGAAGTAGAAATATTTGAAAGAGTTGGAAAATCATTAATTGGATGAATGCAAGCTTACATATTGCAGAGGGAAAACTTTTCAAATATTTATTCCAACAGTTAGTTTAATCCGTAGACATGTAAAGTTATTGAGACGTGTAAAATTATTCTTATTCAATGATTCTGTACAAGTCATAGAAAACGAATCTGTAAATCTTTGAACATTTATCACTTTTTAATGAAGCATTTTTCGATATAAGTTTATATAAACTTTTTTCATCTATTCAATCTCATTATCACGCTAAGTTTGACTCCGACTTTTGCGGATATCCTGTATATATGTGCGCGATTTAAAATATTATATACTATATAATAATGTATTATACAAGGTGTTTCAAAGAAGGTCGGGACCCTGGATTTATTCCGAAGGATGACTTCTCTCTTAGATTCTGGCATCAAAAATAGGATGTCTCATTTAAAAAAAATCGATTTGATCTTAACTTGATGGCGATGCCACCCAAGATCAAACTGATAAGATCTGTAAAGAGATCTTTTTATATCTTACAACTTTTGTCTGACGCACTTCTTTCAAAAACGTCATCCTCCCGAAGAAATACGGGATCTCGACCATTTTTTAACACCCTGTGTGTATGTGTGTATGTATACATATGTACATACTCGTATATGCACATATAAAATATACAAATATTATTTATATATATATATTTTTTTTTATGTATTTATCTTAAGCTCCTAGAAGATTTTATTGAAGAATTTTTCTATCAAAATCCTATAAGTCAATTAGGTGTAATTATAACTAGAAATAAAAGGGCTGAGAAAGTTAGCGATTTGGCTGGTAACTCAAAGAAGCACATTAAGGTAATTATTTTATTCTTATATATATTATTCTTTTTATTTATCATATCTGGAATATTTCGAATATTTTTTGTCTTATATCGCAATCTTATCGTCCATTTTATAGGAATTGCAAATTTTACAACAAACTGTAGTAGGCGGTGAGCCTTCTTTGCAAAATTCTTTAGAATTGGCAACAAAGTTATTGAAATTATTGCCGTCGCATGCTAGTAAAGAAATATTGGTAATTATAGGGGCTTTGACTACATGCGACCCTGGAGATATCAACGAAACAATAAGAGTATGCTTTAATTTCTGTGTTTTTCGTTTGCTTCGAAAATCTATCTTTTTTTAATGTTGTATTTATTTTAGAATATGAAATTGGACAGCATTAGATGTAGCGTAATAGGATTGGCCGCTGAATTATACATCTGTAAACGAATGGCAAACATTACCGGTGGCGAACATAGCGTGGCGCTCGATGATAAACATTACAAGGAGCAATTGAATGCACATATAGATCCTCCGCCTGCTGCAACGCGATTAGATGCAGCGCTTGTGAAAATGGGGTTTCCTCATCACGCTTTACACTCTAACGCGCCAGATACATCTATAACAGTATGTATGTGGTAAGTGTGAAAATCAAAATAATCAAAATAATATGCTCCGATACTTTATTTTGACTTTATTTTTACCCGTAATATTTGTCCGTGTTTTCTTCTTTAATCTTTACAGCCACGCACATAATTCTGATGAAACGGTTAAATTTATGACTACCGGCTACCTTTGTCCCCAGTGCCTCAGTAAACATTGTGAGCTACCTGTGGAATGTAGAGCTTGCGGTCTTACTCTAGTATCCGCTCCACATTTAGCCCGATCATATCACTATCTATTTCCTGTTGATCCTTTTAAAGAAATTGCACCTGATAGTGATTATACTATCTGCTTTGGTTGCCAAAAAGCTATTGCTCAAAAGGATAAAAAGGTAACGGTTTTATCATTCTTCTTCTACACTAATACTAAAGATTAGAAAATTATCCAAGTGTGTGATAAATTGAACAAATTAAAATTTATTAAAGACGAGATGTTTTTTTAATCTGCCAAGATGTCATATATATATATATATACATACATTTGAATATTTTAGATAGCAAGCATATCATATATATTTATTTTTAGGTATATACCTGCGGAAAATGTAATCAAATGTTTTGTTTAGACTGTGAGATTTTTATTCATGAGATATTGCACACGTGTCCTGGTTGTGCAATAAATCCTGAAACATATAAAAAAAGAGAGTCTACAGATAGATCTTGAAATGGTATACTTGAAAAGTACATTTATATAGGAAGAAAATTTGTATAAATACATATGAACATTGCGATAGAGTAGATGCATTTGCATGCGCGCGCATTTATTCTAGATTAAAAATATTAAAGACATTTTTATACATAGAAAAAAAAAGAAAAATATTCTTTGTATACAGATTACCTACCTACAACATTAACGATTCTAACTGCAGAATATGTGAGAATTGTGCATGTTGTGTATGTATACACACACTCACACGCGCGTGCACACACACACACACACACACACACACACACACACACACACACA